TGCCAGGTTAGGTAATCGAGATAAATCCTAACTTCATCTAACTTTATCCCTCGACCATGTCTTGGATATGCTAGAAACATTTTTTGTGATCCATAAATAAATTCACATAGGATTTTGATTAATCTTTTTCTTTTGCTCTTCTGTTGTCAGTGAAGCCTCATTACATTAAATGGGAGATCAAACAGAGTGTATTACCACTTCCACTATGTGCTGGTTTGTTTAGTGCATCACTTCTTTGCAGGTTGAAAACATCAGTAAGTTCCAAAGACATAGTTTTGTGCACAGCTGGGCATGTATAACATGTTTTGATAGTAGTCTGAAGCAGTAATGGCTTCTAGTACCTGATAATGCTTTCTAGCCCCATTCAGTTGTTTGAATTAGCTTACACAGTGGTGGAAAGTATACACTGATTTAATTCACTTCACTCCTAACTGCAACTTGTTACAAAGAAGAGGGAGTCAAGCATGTTTAAAGCAGATCTCTTGCTGGCAGCTGAAGCCAGCAAAGGCGTAATGCCTGTGTGGTTTGGGAGAGGTAGGGCTCCTGCGCTCCTGAGCGCTGCTCCCTGAGATTCTGTGTGCACATCTGGGACATTTCATGGCCACAAGCCAGCCATTTCTGAGGCACAGTCACTGGGGACGAAAGCAGGGCTTGAGTCCATGTCTATATCCTTTTTCATTTGACTTTGAATTCCAGCAAAAGGTTTCAAACTAAAACAGAAGTCAAAGTTTTCTTACCAAGAAGAAAGAGTGACAAGTCTGAACCTCAGAGCAATCAGGTTAAATGTGCCTGGGAAAGATGGTGCCTCCAGTTTGTTAAGAGAAGCAGACTCCATGTTACCCTTGACTGTCCTAACGATAGATGAGATGGAAAAAAGCCCTCCCTTGCTTTGACCCAGAGTTGCTCTTTCCTCTGATGGTTCATTGATTCCCTTTGCTTCCCCTCTCATTTAATAGATTTCTATAAGTTGGGCATTTACAGACCTGCTGCTATTAACATTAAATGTTAGTGGACCTGAGAGCTTCTCTGTCAACTATGCTGGAGCTTCTGAGCCTGCCGATTTAAAAATGTTCATTGCTGATAGATTCTAACATCTCTCTCAGTTACTAATAGACTGGAAAGTATTTCATCATCTTCAAGCAATGAAAAGCAAATCATCCCTCTTTCCAAATACTAAAAGCCTGTTTGAACACTTCCGCATTTTCTGCATAATCCTTCACAATTCTCCTGTCTGCACTAAGCAGTGACCCCACACCATGGCTGGGATTTCTTTTGCAAACACAACTTTCTCGTGCTAAGCTCTGTCAGCCAAGGATTTTATTCTGAAGCTGCTTTGTTTTGTGGCTCGCGGTTCTTGTAGGTCAGGAGTTTGCCTGGCTATCGATTTACAGCTAGTTATATGTAGTACTAGTGTTTGACATTTCTGTCTTTGTTGTTCTTTGCTGACATCACCCCCAAACTTCAACCATGCCAGTCAGTTGCTTTAAGATTTCATCGTGAGTGTCTGACTCAGTTTGACATTTTTCACAGTTTTTAGTGTCGGGTAAAATGGAAAAGGGATTAGGGAGAGGAGACCATTTCCCCAGTGTTTGAAATGCATATATATTTGTAGTATATCTTTAATAATGAATATGTATTTTTTATATAAAACTCCCAATAGCAATGCTGTATAGCCCACTTTTGACACAGTAGAGTCTTTAATATTTGACTGAAGGGCTTGAAATTTAGGAAAGGACTAACCCTGGTGAAAGATGCGCATTTTTTCTTTTCCTTTGAAATCTGACATGTTCTGAGTCCCTCACCATGTCAGTCTGTGGATGTTCAGCTGTGACTTGCCTGCGTTCAGGTATGTATTCCCCAGACCCTTGTCCAACAACAGACGCCACTCCTGGCTTCAGGAGTGAGCAAGATTGTACCTGCAGTGCACAGCAGAGGACATGGCAGACCTCAGAAGCAGGGCAGGTGGGAGGGCTTAAAAGGGATGGAGGAAGAGAAGCAAAAAAACTGGCCAGGCACAGGGAGAATCTAGAGGATAGAGGTGGAAAGATCGGTACTCCTTCAAATGTGTTGTCTCTTAAGAACACGAAATGGGGCCCAACACCACATGGTGCCACCTGTGCAGGTCTGTACTACATGGAATTACCAGCACAGCATGTGTGTTCAGACTCAGTCTACTTAAGGTCTTTATAAAGGATGACAATATCATATTGTTACCAGTAACCACATTATTTGTTGGTACCAGGCACAGAAGGGGAGGAGGGTATCAGAATGCTGTCTTCTTCAGTAGTGGTATCTGAGGAAAAGCTCTGTCCTGGCAGGGCTACCTATGCTTTCTTTATCTGGAGAGGCATCCTGAGTCAGTATTAGCAGGGCTGGAGGTAAGGCAGTAAAAGAGGGCTTATGGATTATGGCCTGATCACTGAAGTTCAAATCTCTCTTTTTCTGAAGTTATTCATGCTCCCCAGACTTTCATATACCTTGTGCTTCACTGCCATATGTCAGAGATCCTCATTCCTTTGCCAAAGCTCTTATCTCTTTTCCACACCAGCCTCCCCACACCACTGTGCTGTCCCTGGATGGAGTATCTGGGCAGGGAAACATGGAGAATACGTGCATGTAGCGATACATGCATGCAGCTACTCCTACATGGACTAAGGAAGCCCTGCTGTAGGGCTGTATCCTCTCCCTCTGCTCACTTGTGTTTGTTCTGGACTGTAAATTTCAGTGACCACAGGCTGTTAACTGACAATCCAGAAAATTATCCAGGAAAAGAATATGTATTTATCTTAGGCTGTAAAGTTTTCCCATAGCACCCACTACAGGTCACAAGATGGGAGCAGAGAGAGTCCATGGCACTTTGATTTGTCTGAATAGGATGGCTTTGGTGTTCTTTGTACCTTAAAGCCCAGTGGCTTTCTTTTCTTAAAACTATAGTTACAGTACTTTAATCTGAAGGGCTTTTCCTTAGTGAACCTTTCTCTTGTACTCGCACCACTGTATCTCTTCATTATTAGCAGATGGAGCATGAGTTCTTTCCTTCCATCCTTCCTGCCAAGAGATCCCTGGTGCCTCGGCAGATTTTTGTGGATACTTAATCTTGTGCTGCTTTTCTTCCAATGATTTTGATTAATTTTATCCATGTACATAAAATTATTTTGTGAGCGACACTTTCCATTAAAGAATGATGTTGGAATTAGGTTTTAGTTCCCTGATTCCAGTGAAAACATCGCACGCTTCCTTTTTTCAAGTCTGAACTTCATGATTATTTTTCTGTAATCCACTTTTAATTGTAAGTACCCAGCATTCTGCTAGTTCATGCAGTACCAAATGACACAAGGTTGCTGTGGAGTGCTCCAGCGAGTATCTTCTGGGGAATATTGAAATTCCATGGAAACAACACGAGAACCATTATCTGAAACAGCCTCTTCAGGCAAACCATATGGGGTGACATATTCTGCACTGCTTCGATAATCCAAGCACAGATATGTTCACTGGTAACTCTGCAGTAAGCATCAGTCATTTGCTTTGTCTGTGCAGTATTAATGAGCCATTTCAATAGACTGCGGGTTTCAACTATATTTGCTGCATATTCATGTTGCTTCCTTCAAGTTGTTTCAAAACTCTTTCCACTAGATTAACTTGGAAGTCTCAGTTATTCCATCAGGTGCTGGCGTACTGAAGATATGGACCATCCTGTCCTTTCCAGTCTTGGCTGAGGAGTGGGGCTAATGTTTGGAAGAGGGATGCTGTTCTAGGCACACTGCCTTTGCTGAGCTTCCCTCCAGCAGGGAGCCTTTGCTCCTGCTTCCAGCACCGATTGCTGGGGCATGTAAAACCTCTTTATTGCTTTCTGGTTCATCTGTCATCCGAGAGTTGTGGTTGCTAGCAAGCAATGGAGCCTTAAGACACTTTTTGCAGGTGGACACACATCATTATAGTGGAGTGAGAATGTGCAAAATCCAGAATAGAGAGCACAGAGGGAAGAGTTAGACGTTTTGACTAGGCTGATCTCTGCTGTGCCTGTAAGTATCTCTGTGTGATGTTACTGTGATATAGTCAGGGGAGATAAACACTCCAGATGTTGGTCTGGGTACCTGCAGAGCCTCCCCATGTCTGAATACAGCATTTTCTATGGGGCATAAATATTCAGAAAAATTCATACACACGTTTTAAAAACCACAAGAAACCTGGAGAGGGGCTTGGGACAAGGGCCTGTAGGGACAGGCCAAGGGGAATGGCTTGAACCTGCCAGAGGGGAGACTGAGCTGAGCTCTTAGGCAGAAGCTCTTCCCTGTGAGGGTGCAGAGGCGCTGGCACAGGGTGCCCAGAGAAGCTGTGGCTGCCCCATCCCTGGCAGTGCTCAAGGCCAGGTTGGACACAGGGGCTTGGAGCAAGCTGCTCCAGTGGAAGGGGTCCCTGTCTGTGGCAGGGGTTGGAGCTGGATGAGCTTTGAGGTCCCTTCCAACCCAGACCAGTCTCGGATTCTATGGTAATGAATATAGAAGCCTCTGGGGTTTGGCACTGAGAGCCAGAGGGCTCTGGTTCATACTGAAAACCACATGAAGGTTTCAAGGGCACCAAAAGTAATTCGACATTTTAGAAATACTATAAATGGCTCCCTTTTGTCCTTGTGAGCATGCAGAAACACAGCCCTTCCTTAATCTGAGCATCTGGTTCTGATAGCTACATGGAGCTTAACCTGGGCAGCAGCTTAAAAAACCAGAAATAGATTAGTAGGGTTACTTACAGGTCTTCCTATGGAAAGACACTAACACAACTCTTGAATAACCACTTCCCAAGCAAAGGAACTCACATATTTAAACAGAACCACAAGGATAATTGAAAGAGACTGGAGGTTGCCAGGACCAAACTGGGTTGTTTGAGGTGCTGGTAGGTGTGAAGGGGGGGGGGGGAAAGGGATTTTCAATTTCAGCCCATTGTTTCTATGCTACAGCTGGTTTACCTTTAAACAGTAGAAAGTGAGCACATGATTTATCCAGCAGGATAGAGCCAGCAGTGCTGTGGTTGAGGGGAAGCAAAGGACACAGCCGAGGACTGGAGGCAGCAGCCACATCCTGGAGCAGTTTGTGGCTGTGATTGTGCCAGGGCTGCTGTGCCTCTGGAGCTGGAGGAAGAGTACAGGTGGAGCGCTTTACCTTCTCTTTTGGGAACAATCTTCTGAAGGGAAAAATACAGACTAATGAACAGCACAGATGTCTGTTCGTCCGTCCTGCAGCCTTTCAAGTCCTTGTATTTCCTTTCATGTGTTGTTAGAAGTAAGTTTTATTGTATTGCCTTTTCCATTTCTGTAAAGAATGAACCAGTAACATTGCACTGTCTCACCTCTAAGGGAGTGCCTGCTTGCTTCTGTTCTCACATCAATTGATGCCCTACCCTGAGCTCCCACTGCCCCTCCGGAGCAGGTACAACATCAGGCGGCTGTGCTGGTCCCTTTCTTCCTGTCTCTGGAAACTGCAGTAATTTTAAGTATCTCCCTTGGAGCTGGAGCAGCTTCTCTATTCCCAGGGGCAGACATCCCCCTGCCTCGGCACAAGCTCTTCCCCAGGGCTGTTGGGATAGGAGAGCTGGGCTGGTTCAGTCTGGAGAAGAGAGGGCTCCTTAAGGGGAGACCTTAGAGCAGCTCCGGTGCCTGAAGGGGCTGCAGGAAAGCTGGAGAGGGCTTGGGACAAGGGCCTGTAGGGACAGGCCAAGGGGAATGGCTTGAACCTGCCTGAGGGGAGACTGAGCTGAGCTCTTAGGCAGAAGCTCTTCCCTGTGAGGGTGCTGAGGCACTGGCACAGGGTGCCCAGAGAAGCTGTGGCTGCCCCATCCCTGGCAGTGTTCAAGGCCAGGTTGGATACAGGGGCTTGGAACAACCCTGCATGACAGTCCTCCCTGAGCCTGGCTTTGGAGGAAGTGCAGAAAGTTCATGCCTGCTCTTGTGTTTTGGGGGTGATTTGGGGCCTCTGCACGTGTCCCCCTTGGGTGCTTGGGGAAGGGTGTGTGTTAGGCAGGCAGTTCTGCTGAGAGCACAAGAGATGTGTTATGAGATGCGACATGGTGCATGGTATTCCCTGTCAGGTATGGTGTTTTGGGAAGCTGTTGGGAATGGGTCTCTTCCTCAGTAGTGAGCCAGCTCCCTAATAGCGTTGTTTGCAGGGCAGGAGACTGACCTGGGCTGTTGGAGACCTGTGTTGGTCTGATTGTACCCTCGTTTACTCACCAGGAGCTTTTCTTTCAGCAGAGATGATGCTGTTTTGCTGCACTAAAACATCAGAAGTCCCTGGCGAGGAGCACAGACCTGATGCTATGGGGACAAAAGGAGGATGCATGCATGGGAGAAGGTGTCAGGTGAGTGCTGAGTGATCAAAGCTAAGCCCCAAAGAGGCTTTGGCATCTGTACCCCATTCTTGGTGGGTTAGTTGTGCCCAGAAGGTCCAGGCAGGGGGCCTGGAGGGGATCCCTTGCTGCTAGCCAGAGGCATGGTGATCCCAGGTGATCCTGCAGGGTCCCCCATGACTGAGGTGATGGCAGGGGGCTGTTTTCAGGGCTCTGCTGTGAAAGCAGAGAGCTGCACTACAGAGGCAGAGCTGGACTGTGCTGTCCCCATAGAATAGGCTGATGTAGGTCAAACAACTAGGAGCACAGGTAAATCTGAGCTGAAAAGTTAGTTTGATGAACACCCAGAAGACCTGATGCTTACCTGAAGAGGTATGAGGGCTGCAGGGGTCAGCTGCTGAGCTGAGGCTGTTTGGAGTGGGTAGTGGCTGGTTTTTGGACTGAGGTCATCTTCATGGTGCTGGGATTGCCTGTGGGCATGTTCTATAGGGCTGTCTGGAAGTGAAGGTGCAGCTGATTCAGCCTTCCCTTGTCAGATGCTCTTCATTGTAGATAAAAGCTTTTTCTGATCATTCTAGTTCCCATGGCTGGGAAGGGGTTTATAAATGGCAAAGGCTGTCCTGTGGGTCAGCGCTTTAGGAAGTCTTTCTCATCTGTGCATCCCAGGAGCAGGTTGGCAAACCATCCTCCTTACTTAAATGTGCTGGCAAGAACAAGCATCTCTGTGCTTGAACTTCAACCCACTCAGGGTGGCAGTTCCTGTGGCTGCCCTGTGCTTTGGATGAGCTTTGGGATTTGCCCAGCTGTGGCTGAAGCTCTAGCTCTTGCTGGGTATAGAGGAATGAGGCCCAGGGCTTGGCTGGAGGCTGCTGGAGCTGCACAAATCCAGTGCACACATCTGCATGCCTGACCCTGCTTGGGTTAAAGCAGGGGGTTGAGTCCTATTGTCTGTGGATAAAAGCTTTCTGTTTCTGCTATTTCTCTGTTTTCCTAAGTGCTTATTGCTAAGAATAACTGCTATTTCACCTCTTGCCTGCCCTCCATCAGCTGCTTGGGGCCACCATTTTAAACGTCATCTTGAGCTGCAAAGAGTAAGTGATCTTGTTTTCCAGAGGCCCTGTTTGAAGGAGCAGCAACTGGATTTTGCCTTCATTTGCTCTTTAAGGAGCTGCCACAGGAGGAAAGGGCCTGTGTTTGCCAGCTCCTCACAGCCCTTGCTGAGAAGCTGCACCACAGCAAGCGCTGAGAAGGAATCAAGCATGCTGGCATCACACTGGGCTGGTTTTCCTCTTGGAAGTCAAAAGTGGAGCAAAGCCACAACTGAGACAAGGTGACTTTCAGTTTATTCAATGCATTGCTTACTTAATGCCTACTAACAGATCTCTGGAGCACACCTTGCCCTCCTCCTCACTCTCAGCTTGTCCCACAGCTCCTGCATCAGAAAGAGCTTGTTACTGTGCTAGTGGAGCTAAAAGGGCTGTGTCAGTGTTGCAACTCTTATTTCGTTGCAGGCGGTACGCTCCATAAGGGGCTGTTTCTCTGCCTTTGCAGATGCTCCTTTCAGCCCAGCTTGCTTTTTACTCCATTTCAGCAAGGGCCCAGCAAACACAGCTCCAGCTGGGAAGATGAGATGTGAGGGCTCCAGGCTTCTTCCCAGCAACCTTCTCTGCTAATAACTGCAGGGAAACCAAAACAATACAAATAACCTGGCTTTGGCTGCTAAAATCCAGGTAAAACAAAGCAGTGAAAAGCTGTGATAGAGACCTTGGAGATCCTTTCTCTCTTCCTTTGCTCTTGCACTAAACCAGGGTCTTCCCTGGGCTCTGGGCCCTAACTGGGGGAGGCAGTTTCTGAAAGCAGCACAAGGGAGTTTTGTTTGTTCTTTGCTTACCGCTTTCTCTGACCTCCGGTGCTGGGCTGGAAGCAGGGTCTGTACCAGGCAGGATGTAGGCCCCAGAGGGTCATGGCAGAGAACCACTGTCATCTGAGGTGATTTTTAACACTAAACTGTGTGACTCACTTTGCTGACACTACCGCTCCTTGCTGCAGAGCAGAACCCTTCACACCAGAGCAGTCTCTTGCACCATCCCTGGGCTGAGTCATGATTGCCCTCCCCTCAACCAGGTCCAGCTTCATCCTGCCCTTCTGCTTCAGACTAATTTACTTACTGGTGAATGGCTTAAGAAGATGTGCCCCTGCTTCCCATCCCTATGCTGATGGCTGTGAGACTGTGGGATCTGTCCTTGCCTCACTGCTGTGTAATGGGACTGATAGTCCTGAGAGCACATGGAAGGCTCCTGGGGGCACCAAAGTACACAGATTCCTAGGGCAGGAGCACCAAAAAGCAGATTGAAAGCTCTGGGGCACCCAAAAAAAGCACACCAAGGCCCTTGAGGACACTGGAAAAGAAACAGAGGGGCTCCAAGGGTACCCCAAACCACCCTGAGGAGCAATATTGGAGAAACAGACCAGTGCTGGTTTCCCTCTCAGATCTCCAACTAGCTAAGAAACCACAAAAGCAAACCAAGAGGTTGAGAAAACCAGAGGGGAGACACAGGGATTCCAAGGACTGAAAAGAAGACAGAGGGTTTTGAGGGACCTTGGTAGCATCAACGAGCATATACAGGGGTGTGGGGGGCAAGATAAATGGACCAAAGCCTCTGGGGACATTGGAGGGGCACCAAAACCAAATCCATTGCTTATGTAAGTGATCTGATTCATTTTTCTCAGCAGAAGGAGTCCTGTGTCTGTCCTCTTGCCTCTGTGTGCTGGCATCCAGGCTTCAGATGAATTTCATGGTCTGTAATCATCCCGGGAGAATTTCCCTCTTGTTCATCCTACGGAAGAGAAACTCTCCCATTTCCACTTGGATCTTACAATAGCTTGTCAGTGACAAAACATTCCCAAATCCTCTCATTTATCAAATGGCCAATCCTGTTAACAGCTTAAGAAACATAATTACCTGCAATCTCTTCTGCTATTCATTTTATGCCTACACTTCCCTCTCTCTGGCAGCTTCCCAGCAGGCAAGTCAAGAGCTAAAGCATGGCTGCAGCTACCAAATGCTTGAGCAATGCAATTTCCTCTAATCACCTGCACAATGATAGCAGGAGTTTTGCCTCCCTGTTTGTAGCAGCAAGGAGCAGGTGAGGAAGGCAGGAAGAGGGCCAAAAGCATCAGCTGACAGTTGTGGGTAAGTTTCCAAGCATGGCTACAATTTAAGTGCTGTATGGTGGGAACATCATTGATTAGGGTCTACTTTTAGGGCACAAGAAATCACAGTCACACTTACTCACTTAGGAGATCCATGGGCACAACTGGGGTCTGAGAGAAGCAGAGAGGCTGATGCAGGTTTGGGTGCTGGAAATGGCTGTAGGAGCTTTGTCAGCAAGAAAGCAGGGCCTGAAATATCAGTGAGCTGGTGAGCTAATGGGGAAATTGGGATCAGCTGGAGACAGTGTGAGCTTCTGATTATTGCATTGCTAACGGGGGCTGATTTTGTCTTATTTCACAGTGTACCTCAAGCTTGTGAGAGACTTTGGCTCAACTCTCAGGGAGGAGATCCAGCTTGCAGGCTGGAGATCTGCTGGCTTCCTGAATGTTGGGTATGTACAGGGCAGCTTGATCCAAAGTGAAACCCGTAGGATTGCCGTAGCCTACCCTAGAACCTGGGAGTTAGAAAATTCCTAGCTCTGTTCTATCCATGCTGGCTGCTGAGGAAGCTGCCTTTGTGCCTTAAAACCTTGTACTAGCCTGACATTATCACTGTGCATTTAACTGGCCAGGATGCTTCAGCCTACACTCTCCAGTTAGACCTGCCTTCAGTGTGGAAGGGTTTTTCTTACACCTACTCTACTCCTCTTTTCAATCCTATCAGCTATTTTGGATCCTATGGGGTTGGGATAAATGAGGTGCATTTCTTCTGACACCTCCCAGTGTTATTTTTAAGCAATTTTTTATGCTGCTTGCCAACACTTTATCCTTACAGTTCTTTGAATGTTGTATTTAAAACCCCTATGCACAAGCTGTATACAAAATCAGAAGTTTGGTGTTTTGTTCTGTTTTAAATCAGACATCATCTTAAGAGATTTGGAACTTTCTGATCTTCCTCAGATACTGAATACAAGTATATTTTGGTCACTATAATAGAATAACCCTTTCTTTAATAGCAGCTTGAACCTCGAATGCCAGTTTTGGCAACTGCTTTTCCTAATGGAAATGGTTTAATTCACTTCTCAGAATACAGGCACCTACATAGATGAATTTCAGTGTAACCCAAATGCCACCCAGACCAAGACACCAAAGAACTTTGATGTCTCTGGGCTACATGCCTGGAGCTGTGTGCTGCTTGGGAACAGCAAGGACTCGGATATAGGATCAGAGAATCCCAGACTGGTTTGGGTTGAAGGAACCTCAGAGTTCATCCAGTTCCAACCCCTGCCATGGGCAGGGACACCTTCCACTAGAGCAGGTTGCTCTAAGCCCCATCCAACCTGGCCTTGGTATGAAACTGTGTGAGTGCTGAGGAGGGACTGAAGTAAGCTGTTTTCTTGTGTTTAACAAGATATAATATATACATAGGGAAAGTAAGGACCGCAAATGAAGAAACTGTACCTAAAAGAAAATAAAGACTGTTCCAATAAAAAATAAAATAGGACAGACGTGCTTTTATACAAGAACTTCCTATTTCTTTTATGATATTTATTTCAAATCATGCAAACCCTTCAGAGCAGCCCTAGTGCCCAGTGGAGTTCTCCAAACTAAATGTCTCATTGTCAGTGCAAGAAACAAAGATAATGTAATTTGAATACTGGACGCAACAACGTAGGCTGCTCTGGAGGCAGATTCTCCTTGCTCCAAATGGGAATGATGGCTCCAAACAGGCTCACCAGAACAGACTGAAAAACAGATGTCTCATTTGTGAGGAAATGGCCAATCTCTCAGCTGTTTTTCCCCCTATTTCTTTCTTCCTAGAAAGGAAAAAAACCCAAACCAGTTGCATAAAGATGCTGCTGTTTCAAAGCAAAATTTTAAACATTGCTGATTTGCAAATGGCATTTCAGCATTTTCCTGAGAATAAAATGCTGCTCTGATGCTGTGTTTAAATATTTCATTCCAGCTCCCCGAACAAACTTAAAATCTTATTATAAGTCGTTTTGACATAAAAGCGCGCTTCTCGGAGGTGCCCGTAGCTCAGACATCTCCAGCTTCAAGCACAGCTGCAGGAGCTCTCCCTGCTCATGGCTGATCAAAGACAAACCATGCTGCCACCCACGAGCTGCTGCTCATCCCCAGCACCCAACCCAGGAGGAAAAACGGATCCTGAACATCCCGAGTGCTTCTTCCTGAGGGGCGACGCTGTCTATGCAAAATACACGTCGCTGTCGTAACCCTACTGTGAAAAGGTGGAGGGAGTTTAGCAAACAAACATCCTTCGCCTTGCTTTAAATCATGCTGAAATAAAACATCAGCTGGTGCTGGCTGCTCAATTAAGCAGTTTGTCGTGCAGCCTTTGGAGAGGAAAACGCTGAGAAATAGGATTTCACGGCACATGCGTATTGCGTGGAGGAAACGTTTCCTGAGAAGCTGTCCAAACCCCCCTGCAATTCCCATGTGCTGCCATTCCCTGTCATGCAACACGTGTGTTGCCTTCAAATTTGGAGGATGGCTCATGGCTGTATGTACCTGTGGTGTGATGACCACCAGTATGTGTATAGGTCACAGCAGGTATACGTTTTAGTTAATTCCATCTGTAGTCCTGATGTGGGAACAAGGAGCCATTGTTCCCCTCCTAGAGGCTTGAGCACATCTTCTGGGGGAAATGTTGAATCTCCTTTTCCTCAGTGAGGGTATTTAACCCCAAAACACCCATTGCCACCCTCGTGAGGGGAGGGGTGCTATTTACCTGTCAGTGCTGGCACCCTGCTGCGGGAGCTTGTTCATCATGTCCACTGTTGCAACTGAAATTGCAATTGTTCAGCCTGGAGAAGGCTTCAGAAGGGGAGACCTTAGAGCAGCTCCCAGAGCCTAAAGGGGCTGCAGGAAACCTGGAGAGGGGCTTGGGACAAGGGCCTGTAGGGACAGGCCAAGGGGAATGGCTTGAACCTGCCAGAGGGGAGACTGAGCTGAGCTCTTAGGCAGAAGCTCTTCCCTGTGAGGGTGCTGAGGCGCTGGCACAGGGTGCCCCGAGAAGCTGTGGCTGCCCCATCCCTGGCAGTGCTCAAGGCCAGGTTGGACACAGGGGCTTGGAGCAAGCTGCTCTAGTGGAAGGGGTCCCTGCCTGTGGCAGGGGTTGGAGCTGGGTGAGCTTTAAGGTCCCTTCCAACCCAAACCAGGCTGGGATTCTGTGTCCCCAATTTGTTTTGTATTCATCTCTGCCAAATATAACAGGAACACAGGAAACTCCTCTGACAGACCCCAACATCTTGTTGGGTGAATCCCTGTCTCTGTATTTTCTCCTATGCAGTGCTCAAACCCCAGGTATAATATTGATAGCCTGCTCTCAGGCTGTTCCCGTTTGCCAGACACCTTAATCCTTCCCTTCTACCCAAACCAGTCTGGGATTCTGTGCTTCAGTGAAATGGTGGCGCTGGCCATGCACCAGGACACTCAGTTTCTTGTCCTCATTCCCTTGCTCCTCGTGGTTATGTGCCATGCTGGTTTTACTGTGGTTGAGATCTGCAATGCCACCATTGTGGCAGCTCTCCTGAGGTCTCTGAGGACCTGTTTTGCGACTGAGAGCATCCTGACTCCATTTCCTGACCATGGGAACTTATGTGTCCACTCGATGAGACACATGGTTATTTCTTCTGGTGTTTCTGCCCTTCATAACACCTTGATCCATGGGGTGTGTGTAGGGCTCAGCCTGCAGAAGCCCTACATAGCTGTGGGTGTCCCAGAGGACACGTTATAGGAGAGGACAGGATTACTTGCTGTCTCACCGTATTGCCCCCCCCCAGCCACCAAACATCCTTAACAGGCTGTGTAAGCAGTAGCGTGTTCTGCATCTCCATCATTCTCGCTGAGTAGCTTTGATGGCTCTTGATGCGTGTGAGTGAGGCCCCATCCAGCACGAAGGGAGGGAACAAGCAAGAGGGGCTTATGTTTTCCACTGATAAATGTATTAGTCTTTATAGCAGAATTTAAACTACAACCCTTTTTCAGGCACCTCAGCACTCCGTTATTTTGCAGGCCTTGTAAGGGAATGTGATTTTGCCTTTTAACTGGAGTGTATCTTATGCTAAGCAGGGAGATTAAGAGTAGGGATCCAAAAGAAGTTGCTGAATGGCAGAATTGCCTTTATAAATAACATTAATAATTTATCCGATCCAGAGGTTTTTTGGCTAAATGAAATACCTGCCTCTGTGTAAAAGCCCACTGACTAGAAACACATCTCTGCTTTTATGAGCCTTGGATTAAAGAAGGAAAATGCTAAGGGGCTTATCTTTGCTTCAATTTGCAGCCCTTCCGGCTAGTGGCAAACTCATTTAAGAAGCTCCTGTGTCTGTGCCAACTCTGCTTTTGTTCTTGGTGCGGGAGCTTGGCTGCATTTCTTGCCATGGCACTGGAGAGAACAGAGGGGAAGCATTTTGTTTTCTTGACCTCAGATTACCAGACAAAAGCTAGCAAGAATAATTTCCCTTGGAGCCCTCCCTATTATGGGCTGCTTAAAGCATGCTGCAGAGAAGCTGGCGGTCCAAGGAACCCACGTGTGAAAGAGGACAGGGCTGGTGGCTGAATGGAGATGAGTCGAAAGAGCATCTGTCATCTTTCTGCTGGGACGCCTGTATCCTCCTGCATGGGCAGTCGTGAAATGGCAAAATTCATCCTCTGCAAAGCCCACGAGCTGTCACTTCTCAGCTCTTCTTTTCTGCTGGTAAAAATCAATTGCTTCAAAGTTCAGTGAAGGTGAAGGCAACATTTGCTTTCCATTCAGTGCTAAGCGGGCCGTCTTGGAGAGTAAACGCTCTCG